CTTAGGTTTGGTCTTTTTATTGTGTCCCATATTTCCTGAATGTTTTGTGATGAGAGTTTGTTGGACTTGCTGTTTTCTTTGATCAGAGTGTTTATTTTCTCTATGTTATCCTCAGAATCTGAGATTCTTTCTTCTATCTCTTGTATTCTGCTGGTTATGCTTGATTCTGTAGTCTCTATTCGTTTACCTAGATTTTCCATGTCCAGTCGGCCCTCTGTTTGTGTTTTCTTCTTTGCCTCCATTTCAGTTTTCAAGTCATGAACTGTTTCCTTTATCTGCTTGATTGTTTTTCCTTGGTTTCCTAGGGTATCATTCACTGATTTACTCAATTCCTCGAACTTTCTATTATACTTCTCATCCATTTCTATAAGGGCGTTTTTTATATGCTGTTTAAGGGTGTCAATCACTTTCATGAAGTCAGTTTTTTCTACTTCTTCTTGATTAAGGTGTTCATGTCCTCCTGTTGTGGGGTCACTGGCTTCTGGTGGTTTCGTGTTGTTTTTCAGATTGTTGGGAGAATTCCTGCATTGGCGTCTGCCCATCTCTTCCTCCCAATACTCCCCTTTGGATCTTCTTTTATAGGATCAGGTCTTCTTGCCCACTGATGTACCTTCCCAGTGATGTCACTCCCCAGAGATGTTTCTCCACAATGATGTTTCACTGGGTGCCCAGAACGAAACTCCACGCTGCTTGGTTAGCTCGCGAACAAAGGGCCCACCCTGCTAGCTGCGGGCAGGCTATGGGAACAAAGGAGCTACCGGCCACCCCTATGTCCTCCCAGTTCAGATTCGGTCCCAGCGCCCTAGCAGGCTGGGCAGGGAGGCGCTACGCCCCAAAGGAGGGAGGGAGACAGGGGGTGTGGGGATCTGGATGTAAGCTGAGTGGGATAGGAAGAGAGAGGGGGTTTGGGCAGTATAGCCCCTGTAGGATGGCCAGGAAGTGTGGGCGGGCTGAGGTATGATCCCAGCTGCCGCAGCACTCACTCACCACAATGATGTTTCACTTGGTGCCCAGATCGAAACTCTGCGCTGCTTGGTTAGCTCGCGAACAAAGGGCCCACCCTGCTCGCTGAGGGCAGGCTATGGGAACCTGCTGTGTAATTTTTGCAACTTATACTTTAGATACTAAACTGTCTGAAGTATCTTTTGAGAACCATTCATTAATCTCTTATTAATTGGTAGTTTGGATTACTGTGTGTGTTAGTTTTGTAGTTATTGATATATGATATATTCTAGAGGTTAACTTCCTGTCTGGAGTGTAACTAGAAAAGATTGTCTCCAATTCTGTAAGTTTTTACTCTTCTCAAAGTTTCTTCTGCACTGTAGAAATTGTAATTCCATGCAGTCTCATTTGTCAATACTTATAATGATTTTCTGTTCAGAAAGTTTTTCTGTCTGCCTTATTTTGAAGTGTTTTCCCTCTAGTAGTTTCAGTGTTTCAAGTTTTTTATTAAGGTCTTTGATTTACTTTGTGTTTGTTTTGAGAAAGGATCTCTCTACATAGCCCTGGCTGTCCTGGAATTCATTCTGTAGACCAGACTGGATTTCAGCTCACAAAGATCCACCTGCCTCTGCCTTCCAAGTGCTGGGATTATAGGCTTATGCCACCATACCTTGTTCTTTGTAATCCATTTTTAATTATTTGTATACAGGGTGGGAGCTATAACTATATATCCAGTTTTGCCAGCACCATTTGTTGAATAGGCTCTCTTTTTTACACTATGTTTTTGAAACCATTGTTAAATTTTAGGTACCCTTAGATGTGTTGGTTTATTTCTAGATTTTCTGTACTGTTCCATTGATCCACATGGCTGCTTTTATCACTATCACTCTATAATATAGTATGAAGTGCGTATTGTATATATGATCTAATTTTTCTACTTTATGTTCTGATATTTTATCTTCTACTTGATTTTTTCTACTTGTGAGACTCCCCCAAGTGTTTTTTTAACTGTTATTGAGTTTTTCAATTCATTTCATTTTAACTTGAGTTCTTTTCTATATTTATCTTTTATTAAATTGAGTTTTCAAACAGGATGGGAAGAGAGTACATTCAATGAAACACAAGTTTGGAGGTGTTTGAGTAATTATGGATCTTTTGTTGTGGTTTTTGAGACAGGGTTTTTCTGTAGCTTTGGAGACTGTCCTTTTAGACCAGGCTGGCCTCAAACTCACAGAGATCCTCCTGCCTCCTAAGTGCTGGGATTAAAGGTGTGTACAACCTCCACACGACAAGGGATCTTGATTGTGATGGTGCTTATTTGAATCTAGATATGAGATAAAATGCATGGAAACACATACATAATAATATTCACACAGGCATGAATTCAGATTACATATGTTGAAAACAGAATGAGTTCTCTATTTTCTTTGATAGTAATGCACCAATGTTAACTGCCTGGTTTTGACACAGAACTGTAGGTATATTAAATATCATAAGAGTTGCTGTTTGAAGGGTAGGTAGATCACAGTCCCTGTAGATGCTCTTCCTGTGATGATACAACTGTCTTAAATCAAAGTTTTCAATTAATGGCTCGCATTTGTCTAGATGGTTTAAGTCTAGTTGTCCTTAAGGTAGAATAATTTGGAAAGGCATTTGCCACACCTCATCCCCACTGTATCATAAGGCCAGAAAACCCAGACAAAATGAAAGATCTACATGGCAGATAAGCTCTCCTACTTTATTAATATCTTTCTGTCATTTTTAAGTACACGTATTTCTTTGCTTCTTGAAAGTATTTTTATGAGAAAACTGCCAATCTTCACTTATATTTAGTGTTAGTGCTTATTCTTAGCTATGTTTCTTCTGCTAATAACAACACAGGGCAGATGACATTAATGTGTTCTGCATACTTACAGGAATGCTCCCCAAACTGACCAAACCCAAAAACATTTTTAAGAAAGTAAAATAGTACAACTTTAATATGCTGAATTCTGTCATTACTCACCATCATTGTGGCAACGGTATAATAAGCTGTGAATTAGGAGAATCATGTGGTTGTTTTAACTATCACTTTTCTTTCTACTGAAGAAAATGTATTGGAATGCAGAATAAGAAATTTGACCTCATTATATGGGAAATCTAGAATCATCTCAAATTTATTTAAATTGCCCAAGTTATAATTTATAAGTGTAAATGTCTGCAATAGTGCATTCGAAAACATTCATTTTAGGGTACAAAAGAAATAAAATATATGGGTTCTGCCTTGTAAGTTGCTGATACAGCTGTGGCATACTGGAAATTTTACTGACTTCAAGTACCAGGCTTCAATTTTAATCTCCCCTCTGCTGCTTATCATTCATATCATTAAACTTTGTGGTATCTGCCTTTCCTCAAATATTGACTAGATCATGTACAAAGTTAATAAGTGTATCATGAGAGTGATAATATTGAAATATAGTCTATTAAAATGGGTGTTAGAAAATGTGGTCAAATGCTGCAAGTTTCTAAAAGTATTACGAATAACAGAATCAGATTGAGCTTTAGAAAGTGAAAAGATAGTGGGGAAGCGTGAATAGTTAGAAACCTTAAAAATATGAGCACAGCACCATACCATCGTTCTACATTCTTAAAAGCATATTCTACCAGATGTTTATATATTCTTATTGATTTTTATTGAGCTATACATTTTTCTTTGCGCCCCTCCCTGCTTCTCCCCTCCCCTTCGACATCTTGAATTTTGCAGGAAGCTGTTTATATTTTAATGTTATTTTTTAATGTTATCACAGTTAATTGAGATCTTGTTTGGTAAGATTTACATAGCTTAAAAATAGTTAATTCTTTTTTTTGTTTTGTTTTTTGTTTTATTTATTTATTTATTAAAGATTTCTGCCTCCTCCCCACCACTGCCTTCCATTTCCCTCCCCCTCCCCCATCAAGTCCCCCTCCCTAGTCAGCCCAAAGATCAATCAGGGTTCCCTGCCCTGTGGGAAGTCCAAGGACCACCCACCTCCATCCAGGTCTAGTAAGGTGAGCATCCAAACTGCCTAGGCTCCCACAAAGCCAGTACGTGCAGTAGGATCAAAAACCCATTGCCATTGTTCTTGAGTTCTCAGTAGTCCGCATTGTCCACTATGTTCAGCGAGTCCGGTTTTATCCCAGGCTTTTTCAGACCCAGGCCAGCTGGCCTTGGTGAGTTCCTGATAGAACTCCCCATTGTCAAGAGGGTATCGTGGCAATAGGGCAGGTGCTGTCTTTTCAGTGTGTTTCATAGTCCTTGTTCATTGTTTGCATTTGTTTTTAAGTCTGTAATTTAATCTTTTCAAAAGTCCTTTGGTAGTCTGCAAATTTCCTGAACATAAGTGCTGCTTTCTGTATTAGAATTGTTTTAGGATAGTATAAAAGAAATATAGGACAAATGAAGGCATTTAATGTTTGATTTTCTTTTGAATGATATTAGAACAAAGACTGTTGTGGGCTAAACATATCTATCAGTGGTAATCTTTCCCCAATAGTAAATCATTCTTGTCACTTTTCAGCTTTTATGATCCTTTTTGCTATATAATTTCAACTTTACATTAGTGAAAAATAACTTTAAAGTATTTATTACCTATATACTAAATATTATACTCTATTGCAGTAGGATGAAAAAGACTGATATAATGTAGACCCTCAAGACTATAAAAGGAAAGGAAAATATATATACACAGATAACTATAATGCAAGACAGTTTACTGCTAAGTGCCATGAGTTCTGTAGGATTTCAGATTATAGAAAACATTTTTAGCAGCTGATAAAGAATGCTTTTGTGGACGCAGGAGCATTTGACTAATTCGCGTAGTTTGTAAATTAATATTAACATGGCAGTGTGGTGTAAAAATCTTAAAATAGCACAGCTTCTAGTGCCAAAGATTTTTATCTTTGTAAATTTCAAAAATCATTTCAATTCCAGTAAATGTGTCCAGTAAACATTACCACAAATAATAATTTAAGGAAAATATTTGTACTTTTATAATAAATGTTTTGTGTATGGTGGGTAATTGATGTTTTTATATTTTTAGGCCATGAATATTGTGGTTCCTTTCATGTTTAAATATGCTGTAGACAGCCTCAACCAGATGTCGGGAAACATGCTGAACCTGAGTGATGCACCAAATACAGTTGCAACCATGGCAACAGCAGTTCTGATTGGCTGTATGTGTGATTCTTTAATCTGTCTACAGGTGTTGACTTTCTTCAAGAAGGTTCATCATATTTGAGCAGATGACCTTTTCACCACAAATACAACTTAGCATTTTGGATTTTTATTATTTTATGTGAGATTTGTTTTGATCTGTTTTTGAAAATTCTTTCTATGATATGCTTTGCAAAACTTCTGTGACAGTAGCATTTTCCATGTTTAAAAAAGAATAATATAAAATAAGACATTAATTGTATTACCACTACCTTCACTAGGCTTTTTTATAAGTTATCTTTCTAGAAAGGCCAGTTATTTTCTTACTGTTAATATTAAATAGAAGTGGATAATTAATGATATATGAACATTAGTGCTTTGTTAAAATATATTGAGTAACCATGACATACAAATGCAATTAGAAAATAATAGAATGTTTTTTCAAATGAAGTGGGGAGCTGTACATTTGAAAGGGCTGTTTAACACTTTAGAGACAGAAATAGGAGTTTGCTAAAAGCACTTGACTCTTCAGGATCTAAGCCTTTTGCATTTGTTATATGAGAGAATTGAATTAAGATATTGTACACTTATCCACAATGAGGCCATCTGGGCTATTCTATATTAAAAGTATTTTAATTGGAATTTTTTTCAGCATCTGAAATCTAGGGTCAAATAACACTGAAAGGGATTTATGATGATGGAAAGGTTAATACTCATTAGAGTAGATGAGTTCTATGCTTCTTTTAGTGTAAATATTCTGTGTTATATGTATTGGATGAATTATTCATCGTATAAAGATTTCGTGCAGCCTTGCCACTTACACTGCTCCAATTCTAATGTTTCTATACCCCCTCCTACTTTTTTTCTTTTGTTTTGTTAGATGGTGTATCAAGAGCTGGAGCTGCCTTTTTCAATGAAGTTCGAAATGCAGTATTTGGAAAAGTAGCCCAAAATTCAATCCGAAGAATAGCCAAAAATGTATTTCTCCATCTTCACAACTTGGATCTGGGTTTCCATTTGAGCAGACAGACAGGAGCTTTATCTAAGGCTATTGACAGAGGAACAAGGGGTATTAGTTTTGTCCTCAGTGCTTTAGTGTTTAATCTTCTCCCTATCGTGTTTGAGATGACGCTTGTCAGTAGTGTTCTGGTAAGTAATGCGTTTTTTCATAGTAACCTTTTATCTTTCAATCTTACTAAGAGCAAATAAATAGTTGAAGCTGTTTTATGCTCTTGCATACCTTGATGCCAGAAACATTTTCTGTTTGTTTCATTATTTTGCCACAGGTGTCAAAGGACTTTCCAAATTATGTATTATTTTTTAGACACCTAGATCATTGATTAGTGCTTCTAATGTTTTTTTTTCAAGAATTTTGTATGTCACACATTGGATTGTGTGATCAAAATATTTAGATTTGTTTATCAATCCTAACACATTATAACATTGTAAACTTTAAATTAATTCCTCTTTAGGCTTACACAGTTTCAATGTTAGAATTTGATGGTATAATTGTGACAGGTGCAATTTGACTTTCTTTCCTTGTTACCTTGAGTAGATTGTTTAAGATATTTGATTTTTAATCCATGATTGATTAATGTAACTTCTCAGCATCATAGTTTTTATAAGTATCCTTTGACTGAAGTTTGCTGTTGTGATGCTATAAAGCGACAAGAACAGTAATTACTTTCTTTTTTAAATTTTGTTTCATTGTATTGTTTTTAAAACAATAATTCTAAAATAAGGAATATTTCTTATTTATTTGAAGTGCATAGTATCTTAAATAATACTTTCAAAGAAAATAATATTCTCTATAAGCTTTCTGTTTTGCCAAGTTTTATATTAAAATTTAGACTATGAACTGCTATATGCAGTTACAATTTTGATTCAAAATGTAATTAAGCATGGTTCATCATCACCTTTTACTAAACTAATTATTTTTCCATTTTAAAAATTTCTATTTTATTCAATTTTATTGTACATAATAGAGAATATTGCCAGGATCTCTCACTTTTCCTATTGTAAATGATGAAAGCCAGAGACAATTCAATCACTTTTCACTTCTCTTGACTTCTTTTTCCAGTATTACAAATGTGGTGCCCAGTTTGCATTGGTAACCCTAGGAACACTTGGTGCATATACAGCATTCACAGTTGCGGTTACACGGTGGAGGTATGGTATTTCCCAGAGGCCAGTTAAGGCTGCAGAAATTAGTTATGGTATAGCATATGTTTCAGGCTGTGTAAATCTTTGTCTTACAGAACTAAATTTAGAATTGAAATGAACAAAGCAGATAATGACGCAGGTAACGCTGCTATTGACTCACTGCTGAATTATGAAACTGTGAAGGTAATCTGTCTAAGTGTCTTTTCGGCTGCCTTTCACACTAGGATTTGTTCTGCATTTAATTTAATGGGCACTGTAAGAATATCAGATTAGGATAGGATCTCTAGGTGTGATGAAATAATACTCCTTCATTTTTCTTTTGTTTAGAAATGTTCTTTTCTCTTTGATTTTTATTTGGAAATATCAGAATTTTGCCTTCTGAGTTTGTAAGTGATCATAAATATATGATTAGCATCTTGATTACAAATGAATATTAGCTAATTAAGTTGACATGCAAGTTCTTGATCCTCTTTTTATCCTTCATAATGCCTAGCATCATGCTTGTCCTTAAATTTTTCATTCATTTTTGCATTTATTCACTTAATAATTACTGAATTGCTCTTATATGCAAAGCACTGTACTAAGCACTAGGCTATGATAGGAGAAGATGGTAAAAAAGATTACAATGTCCCCCTTGACTTCTCATAATTTTATAATCTGCTAGAAAATTAAAGGAAGCATTCAAATGACTATTCAAAAAGTCATGATATGGTGAGGGCAGGTGGAATTTAAGGCCTCAGGTTAAGGCTTTGTGAAGGAAGTGTCACTCCTAGAAGGCATGTTTAAATCAAGTCTAGGTTCAAATTTATTAACTAGTTAAGAAATGTTTGTTGTATGAATTTTGAATATAATCCATTACTTGAAAACCTTCAGGAATACCATAATCTAATATATTGAAAGTCAATATTTTTATGTTTGACAGTTTCATACACGTATATAATGTATTATGATTATATTCCCCCCCATTATCCTTTCCTGTCCCCTTCCCATTATCCCTTCTTATTCCCTTCCTACTCCTCTGACCCATTTTTTTCTTCAAAGTTGAATTTTATTTTATAATAGGATCTTCAATACCAAAGTATATCTATATTTAAGTATGATAAAACTTACACCAATTGCATAGAAGAGTATATATTCGAATTTGCCCATAGTTTCTATTTTTATATATTTATAGTATTTTAATAATGAAAAATATGAAGCACAGAGATATGACAGATTTTTGAAGACATACGAGACTGCTTCATTGAAAAGTACCTCTACTCTGGCTATGCTGAACTTTGGCCAAAGTGCTATTTTCAGTGTTGGATTAACAGCTATAATGGTGCTTGCCAGTCACGGAATCATGGCAGGTAATAGATTGATGGTTATCACATTTAGAGACTATTATAAATGGGTTAATGGAAGAAATAAGTGTTTTGTATTAGTTGTAAAGTGTGCTCAGTAAAGCACTTTGACATTTTCAGAGTGTTTTTCTTTTCCCATCAGAATGTATTTTCTTGATTGATAATTCTTTTACTTCCTTTTTATTAACACTGACTTACTTATTGAATGAAAATACTGCTTATTCATTTTATGGTTCTATAATGCGATTCTTTAGGAGAATTTGTTTTAAAAATCAACCATGTAAAATGTTTACTTGATGATACCTTTTTAAAAAAATAATAATGCTTTTATTAATTTGAGATATCAACCTTTTTAGTATCTGGTATCTTTAATTTTTCTTATAAACCTGGAAAACAATGTTATTATTTTACTGTTTAGTTTAAAGGTCTTGTTTTATAATTCAGTAGCTTTTTCTACTGGTTTTTTTTCATTTACAAGTAATGTCTGTGCCTAGTCTTTATAATATGAGATGCATCATCTTTTTTTGTCATGATAGCCATTCACTCCAATTTTAATATATGTACTTTTATGAGTTTTCTTTTTAAATACTATACAAGAAATCTTTGCTTATGCCTTAGAGGAAAAAGGAAATATTTTTAACCTTCTTATTCTGTCATTACTTAAATCATTCTTTTTCATATATTACACAGTGTGTTAGGTATGCTTTTCCCTCTCCATGCAATATACACATTGCCTAATTCATGTATTCATATGCTCTATAACTTGTGTCAGCTTAAATGTTGCTGATTATGTACATTTAGAACTATGTGTCACAGAAATTGGCTTTAAAACTCTTTCTTAAGCTAGAGAGCTTATACCTTTTCTTTTTCCAACTGCATAATAAGGTGCCCTTACCGTCGGAGATCTAGTAATGGTGAATGGACTGCTTTTTCAACTTTCATTACCCCTTAACTTCCTGGGAACTGTATATAGAGAGACAAGACAAGCACTCATAGATATGAACACTTTGTTTACTCTGCTCAAGGTAGACACGCGGATTAAAGTAAGTAATGTGTATAGTAGCTTTTTCAGAAGATCATAGAGTACTGTCTCACTAATACTGGGTTGCTCCAGGACAGTGGTTCTCAACTTGTGACTTATAACCTGTGACAGAGGTCACATATCAGATATCCTGCATATCACTTATTAACACTACAATTCATAAACAATAGCAAAATTATGGTTATGAAGTAGGAACAAAAATAATTTATGATTGGGGGTCAGCACAACATGGTTGTATTAGGAAGGTTAAGAACCACTGTTCTAGGAGAATATTCTTACATCAGTAGGTTAGACAAACAATTTCCTCATTGTCATCTCTTCCCCAACTCCTCACCAAGAAAATCTTTCCTGTGCAGTGATTGCACACACCTTTAATCCCAGCACTTCAGTACTTGGTACACAGAGGCAGGCAGATCTTTGTGAGTTCAAGACCAGTCTGATCTACAAAGCAAATTCTAGGACAGCCAGAGCTGTTGTTATACAGAGAAACCTGTCGTGAAAAAAACAAGATAGATAGATAGATAGATAGATAGATAGATAGATAGATAGATAGATAGATACATACATACATACATACATACATACATACATACATACATAGATGAATGGATAGAGTGAGTCTTCCCAGCATCTGGCATATATAGGAATTTCTTATCTGCTCATTTTTGTGCAGTGAGTAATGAAAAAAAATCATACTTGGAAGTGACCTTATTCCATTTGCATAAACCTCCTTTCCCATATTTTTCTTGCTCTCCCCGTTAATTAAAAACATTGTCTAACGAGTAGTATAAGTAGTTTGTTGTTTTTCTTTTTTCTTCCCTTCTAGGACAAAGTAATGGCGTCTCCCCTTCAAATAACACCACAGACAGCCACAGTGGCCTTTGATAATGTGCATTTTGGATATATTGAAGGACAGAAAGTCCTTAGTGGAGTATCTTTTGAAGTCCCTGCAGGAAAGAAAGTGGCCATTGTAGGAGGTAGTGGGTCAGGGTGAGTAATTTAGTTTTTTATAAAATTCTACATTATTGTCTGATAATTGTGGATGTGAATTTTTTATCATTGTGAAATAATTACTATACTTAAATTGAGCTTCCCTAATGACTACAGATGCTGATTAGCCTTTCTTCATCTCCAATTTCAGAAAGAGCACAATAGTGAGGCTGCTGTTTCGCTTCTATGAACCTCAGGAGGGTAGCATTTATCTTGCTGGTCAAAATATACAAGATGTGAGCCTGGAAAGTCTTCGGAGGGCAGTGGGAGTAGTACCTCAGGTATTTTAAAACAAAAATGTAATTGTTAGAGGGTTGGTGGATATATTACTATAATAATTTGAATCCAAGGAACCAGCATATGCTAATGAAGTGGATAATGTTAAACTGTTCAAGTGAAATTCTACTACCAAAAGGAATTGTGTTTTGAGACAGCACCTCACCATGTACTTCTGACTGGCATGGAATTCACCATGTAAACCAGATTGTCCTCAATCAACCAGACATGGTTTCTAACCATAGCTCTAAGACTAATCAGTTCTATGGCACTAGTCTCACTTTCCTCATTTCTAAAATAAAGATAATATTTATAAGAAATAGTTATTATAGAGGATACACACATATATATTTACCAGACACAATACCCACAATATAAATGTTCAGAAAATTAAAACTAATACTTTTGAATATCTTTTAACAAATTAAATCTATAATTACAATGTAATTTATCTACCAACCTCAAGTTTTATGCCTTATTTGCTACTGGTCTACTTTATTATCAGGCATACAGTGCTTGACTGATAATAATCATTTAAAAATATTTGGTGAGTGACATTGAAACAGAGAAGAAAATTCAAAGTAAAGCCTGAGAAAACAAGAAGTAGATAGTCTTACAGTGTATATAGTTTTATCTTAAAAGTCTATAAAGGAGTTTGAAGCTGTACCTGAATGCTAGAGTACTTGTCTGATGTCCACTGGTAAAGTTGATTTATGAAACCAAGTATCAGATCTCTGGGAGAACAGATCATATGGGGAAGGGAGAGGAGAAAACCTATAAGAAAGTCACCAGGAAGGAAATGGTTATCACAGCATTTGGGAGGCTATGATAGAGTAATTGACTTAAGATTGAGGCAGCCTGGGACATAATGCACTCCAGCCAGCTCTGGACTACAGAGTAAGATTCTATCTTTTAAAAACTAAAACAAAAAGAGTGATCTGACAGGGGTATGCCAACTGTAAAAGGTCCCCAAGTGCTCCAGCATATGGCACTCCTTTCTATCCTATCTTTTGCTAAAAATCACAAATTTTAGTCGTATGAGTCAACTAGAAAGATTGTAGAAATTCCATTTCTTTTTTCACATGCTCGGCTTCTGATTGTGGAGTACATTGTGAGCCCAGAAATCTATATTTTTAATATGCATCTTAGATGATTCTGATAGATACTTTAAGACTGACTTTGTGTTAAGAAACAGTAACCTATACTGTTTGCCAAGTGAACTGCATTCTGGACCGTGACTTCATTTGGTCAAGTGTTCTAATTCATATGTCTTATTTCTGCCATTTTGGGGGGCTATATAATGATTTCACGCATCCTTTTGAAAAATAAAACCTTAAATTCACAAAGGAGGAAAAGCAATTTATTCTTATTGGAGACATTAGTAATACAAAATTTGGTGAAAATGAAATAACACTTTCACCTAATAGACTGATAAATGAAGTTCTTTCTTTTTATTCATTTCTCTTTGGGGGCCCTCCAGTCAGCTCCCAAATAATCACACAGAGACTTCTTATGAATGCCTGGCCTTAGCTTGGCTTGTTTCTAGCCAGTTTTCCTTAAATTATCCCATCTACATTTTGCCTCTGGGCTTTTACCTTTATTTTTGTATATCTTTTATTTCCTTCTTACTCCATTGCTGGATGTGTAGCTGGGTAACTGACCCCAAACATCCTCCTCTCCTTCTCCTTTTCTTACTACTCCTCCCTTTCTTCTTTTTCTCCTATTTATTTTCTCTGACTGGCAGCTCCACATGTCCCTCTTCTGCCTAGTTATTGGCTGTTCAACTCTTTATTAGACCAATCAGATGTTTTAGGCAAGCAAGTAACAGCTTCATAGAGTTAAACAAATGCAACATAAAAGAATGCAACACATCTTTGTATCATTAAATAAATATTACACAGTATAAAAGAATGTAACTCATCTTTAACTAATATTCCACAACAGATAAAGATTTTGAAAACCAGAATATCTAATTTAGATATAATTCTGTAACATGGGCAGCATTGTTTTGCTCATGAAAGAATATGGCTTTCATCATAAGAAAATTAACAATACATATAAAGTTCTGCAAAAGTATTCTAATAACTCTGACCCTAGGAAATTTTAGTAAGAAATTAAAAGATACAAACATGGGTCTTTAATACAATGTTATCTACAGCATTATTTATAATTGTCCAAGGTGGATACCATATAAATATTCAGTGATAACTGAATGTTTGAAGTATTATAGTTTCAAGTGCCATGTAGTCATTAAGTTTTATCAAATTATATTATGATTGGTTTGTTGAACAAATATAGATATTTTGCCTGCATTTAGTCAGTTTTTGTACCCCATGCATCCTGGTGCTTGAAGAGACCAGAAGAGAGATTTGAATTTCTTGAATCTGAGGTTACAGATGAATGTGAATGTGTACTGGGAACTGAACCCAGATTCTCTGGAAGAGCAGCCAGTGCTCTTAACCAATGAGAAATTTCTCCAGCTCAGCATTAAAGTTTTAAAGAATATTGAGTATCACAAACAGTCAATACGACTATGTAAAGAAATATTAGATCAGTTTAATGTTGCAAACTATTACTTTAAATATGTGAAGGTGTGTTGTGTTGACAGAAGTTTCTGTTTTTCCTGGTCCTGCAGCCATTCAGTCCCAAAGAAACACACAGAGTTCTACATTAATCATAAACTGGTTGACCTATTAGCTCAGGCTTCTTATTAACTCTTATAACTTATATTAGCCCATAATTCTTGTCTGTGAGCCATTTGGCTTGGTACCTGTTATCAAGGCAGTCACATCTTGCTTCCTCTGCATCTGGGTGAAAGTTGCAGACTGAGCTTTCCTCTTCCCAGAATTCTACTGTTCTTGTTACTCCACCTCTACTTCCTGCCTGGCTACTGACCAATCAGCATTTTATTAAATACAAGTGACAAATCTTTACAAAGTACAAATCCACTATCCCACAGCAAAGATGTGTTGCATTTGTTGATGCTGTATTTGTTTAACTATGTAAAGATGTGTTACATTTGTTTATCCTGCATTTGTAACATGTAACGATGTTCTGTTTTGCCTGCCTAAGGCACTTGAGTGGTCTGATAAAAATCTGAATGGCCAATAGATAGGCAGTACAGTGTTAGGCAGGGTTGGCAGGCAGAGAGAATAATTAGGAGGCGGAATCTAGTCTTAAGAGGAGAGAACTAGGGAGAAAGAGAGAGAAGCACTCAAGACCAACCAGCCAGGCAGTGAAAGTAGGACATACAGAATGAAAGAAAGGTGAAAAGCCCTAAGGCAAAACACAGATGAAGAAAAGCAGGTTAAATTGAGATATAAGAGCTACTGGGACAAGCATAAGGTAAGGCAAAGCATTCATAACTAATATTAAGACTCGCCTTTTTATTTGGGAGCTGGCGGTCCAAGAAAGCCTGCTATAAAGGATATCAAACAAAATATTCTGGCTGTACAACATAGATTAATACTTGCAATTAGAGAAAAAAATGGAATAGACACCAAGGCATTAATGTGTTTTTGTAGACGATAAAGTTAATACATTATTTAGTTTCTTAAATTTGTGAACTTTGTGTGTGTGTGTGTGTGTGTGTGTGTGTGTGTGTGTGTGTGTGTGTGTGTGTGTCTATGTGTCTGGTGCATGCCATGTTATGTCATACCTACAGATAGTTCTGTGGTTATTTAAACTAAATTAACAATTGCATTATTTCACATAATTACTCATATTTAGTGTGTGACAAGAGTATTTAGCAAAAATCATGAAAATAGTTCATTTGTGTTTTGTTTTGGGAAATAGGGTCTTACTCTGTACTGCAGGCTAGTATCAAACTCATGGTGCTCCTACTTCTGACCCCAAGTGTTGGGATTACAAGGGTGAATCACTACACATGTTTAGTTAATTTTTATTTTATCCATTTTTTGGTTATATTTTTCTGTTTTTCGGTTAGTATTTATTAATTTTTTCTGAATATAAAGTACTATAAAAATAGTTCTGTGTGTAGGACTTTGAGCTTATTTGGTACATTTAGTATGAGAAATTTATGTTAGTCGTGGATATATAAATGATCAGAATATTACTTGAAATAATATCTGAAATTCTCAACCTGAAAATCCTGTAAAAGAAGACCTTTACTGGGTCTCCTGGTGAATATTAACAATTAGAGCTATTTTATTTCACCTTGCTCTCAACCATTCAGAGACTGAAAAAAGAATAGGAGATAAATGCTCATTTGAAATAAATTAGCTTTAGTATGCCATGTCAAAACAAGGCGAATTATCAAATGACAGCTTGCACTGAACTTCCTCTAGTAAGTACACACATGATGCACAAATTCTTTATTTGCTGAGTTTCAAGGCCAAAGTAAAAGCTTCTTATAAATACAGGGAAATATATCTAACCTCATCAGTAATTAAGGAAATTCTAATGTAAACAAAAAGTACATTTCACTCTAAAATCATAAGTGAAAATGAGTACCAGGGTTGCTAAAGCTATGGAGATCTAGAAACCTTACATGCCATTTAGTAGAATATGCTCATATATTACTAGCTGCTGTTTTTGTAGGACAGCTGAGCAATAACATTACAAAATAAATATAAACTTCACTTTTGACCTATCAGTTAACATCTAGGATTCCGGAATTCTTGCATAAATACTTAAGTGTGTAAAGCCATTTTTATAATGCTTTTATCCCAACATGTTAACCACATTAATAGACATTAATGGGGGAATAAGTAATTTTTATCTATAGTAGGAAATATATAGCGATTAAAAGAATGAAGTATATTTCTATTATCTAGAATGGAAAATCTCCAGTATATGTTAAATAGAAAAAGCAATTTACAATGTAGTATGTGTAATTTGGGTTCCCTTGTATTGGAAAAAAAAGCATATGGTTAAGCATATAAATGTCTCAAAATAAGTCTGGAATGAACATAACAAATTATACATGGTAATTAGCTCCAGAAAGAGACCTGAGACTGCAGGTCTAGTAAAATGGATTGTTGTGGTTTGCTATTTACAATTACTTTATGTCTTTATACTTTTTAAAATTTATATAAATTTGTGTAATGAACACATATACAACGGGTGTCTATACAAATCTGCTTCAGGATGCTGTCCTCTTCCATAACACTATCTACTACAACCTTTTATATGGAAACATCAGTGCTTCACCAGAGGAAGTATATGCAGTAGCAAAATTAGCTGGTCTTCATGATGCAATTCTTCGAATGCCACATGGATATGACACACAAGTCGGGGAACGAGGACTCAAACTATCAGGTGAGCAAAGATTTTAAAGCTTCTACTTTTATATTCTCCTCAAACCAATTTGTTGGGACTTTTTATATTATTGATGGAATCTCATATATATCAGTGTTAATGTATAATCCACAACCTTTAAGGAAAGCCAAGACTTACTCACTTGGAATATAGTAAAAGTAGAGTTAATTAGTTTAGTACTGAATAGTGTATCTCTCATCTTATTTCCTAGGTGAGGTTTAGATGTCTAAACATCCTTACTCTTGTCCTGTTCATTTTCTTATCTTTCTTAGTTAGCTCACTGGTGAAAGAAATTTTGAGGTTTTTATATGTTTCTCTGCAAATGTTTAATCATGAGATGGTATATTTAATCATAACTTGAAAATGGCTGGATTTTTGAATAATTTATTTATTTACAAAATTTATTAAGTATACACTGCATGGCTCCTATGCCAAATTATGTATGGCTAAATGGGCCTGCTGTCAAGCAATGTGTGGTCTATTAGAAATTTTTTATTTAAGAATATTTTAAGCAAAGATTTTCTAGTTAACTTTGTTTGTGGTTATTATTTGATCATAGCTTAGTAATATATGTTTATCATTTAAGTGTACCTTATAAAAGTTTATATAACTTGCCCTTGTAGTTAAGAGAAGGTAAAATGTATTTGGTATATACTCTTACTTTGAAAAATGCTATTAAATAACAGCTTATCTCAAAACATACTTAAATATTAGCAGATTGGGACCTTTTATGTTAAGTCATAAATTAGGTATTCATGGTTTCATGTCTTTAAGTTTTCTAGTTTCAGATATTGGGTTTGTCCTTTGATTTGTTGATTCATTGCTAATGATTTTTTTTTTTTTTTTTTGGTTTTTCGAGACAGGGTTTCTCTGTGGTTTTGGAGCCTGTCCTGGAACTAGCTCTTGTAGACCAGGCTGGTCTCGAACTCACAGAGATCCGCCTGCCTCTGCCTCCCGAGTGGCTAATGAATTTTTTATCTAAGGGTTTTGCATATTGAAATATCCATAATAGAAAGTAACATATATGATAAACATGCTTTTGGTAAGAACAATTGAAAAAAATCAAAGTTGTTACTTATCATTTTTATTCATTTCACTGACATGAATCAGAGATTCATTAAGATTGAATTTGTATTCCAGGAAATATCGTTTGTCACAGGATACCATATATAGACATAGACTGAACAATTCAGTTAAGTGGCAAGTGATAAAGAATTTAGGTAAATGTTACAGGTATAATTTGATGGTTATAATCAACAGGAATACTAGAAACAGAATATTCCTGTATTGTGTTTCCTTAAATGAAAATATTCTTTTTCAGGAGGAGAAAAACAGAGAGTAGCAATTGCAAGAGCCATTTTGAAGGACCCCCCAGTTATTCTCTATGATGAAGCTACTTCATCATTAGACTCAATAACTGAAGAGGTAAATGACAATGAAAATAACAAAATAAACTTTTTTCCTTGGAATCTTCAGTGCAATGTCTGCATTACTTAGAACAGTGGTTCTCAACTTTCCTAATGTGACCCTTAATACCCTCATGTTGTGGTGACCCCCAACCATAAAATTATTTCTGTTGCTACTTCATAATTTGGCTACTTTTATGAATTGTAATATATGTGTACCTGTTACACAAGAAGTCTGATATGTGACCCTGTGAAGGGATCATTTGACCTCCAAAGGGGCTGCAACTTACAGGTTGAGAACCACTGACTTAGTGTTTTGAATGTATTTCAGTGGGAGATATTATAAAGTAAAATAGCCAACCCCGTCTTTTTATATGGCAAGTGTTAGTAAATTCTACAAAAGCCAGGTTGCATTGAACCAGATAATACATTGTTACAAATGTGCTTCCTTTTGGAAGTGTATGATACGCTATGCTATTACTGTATCGCTCCTGTATCTTGCAAAGCTGTACATATTACCTGACATGCTAGTGAGGGAAGAAAGTTTTAGTAACTGTCTTATTGTTTAGCACTCCTTAATAGAAGTCATGTAAGTGACTCTGACACAGTCTAACCAGAATGCCTTTCACTTACTATTGAAGTGCAAGTCAGGCCATCCAACCCTTAGAATAGTACCATTTGTTTCAGTTCACAAAAGTGTTATGTAACAGCAAAACTTTTGTGACAGTGATGCCATGATACTACCCCAACTAGTACATTGTGTCTCATAACATCTTTACATTACATCCAAAAGTTTCAGCAACAATGGTAATTTCTTGTAGGTTAGTCTTGAACTAAAGCTAGGCAAATGTTGCAGTTTGCTACTTTTCACTGAGTATGTGGTAGGAACCTAATGTTAACTTAGAGGTCTTCTTTCAGCTTTACAGGCAATGTGATGTAATATTTACATGTGGAATTAAATTTGAGGGAACATTATTATTTTATTAGCAACATATTTAAAACAGTTCAAAGTAGATTCATTTGAGAATTACATTTTGAATGAATATTGAACAGGACTAGATCACATTCACAAGAGAATAGCAACCTATTTATGAGAACTTCATGCCTATTATATGTTGTACAAGTTATAAGCTAACAGGATAAAATTTATAACAGCAGCTTTTGAGTCACATAATATAATTATGTTAGAGAATATATCCCATTCAGCATTTACAAGGAATTCCTCAGAAGAAGAAGTTTTGATAAATTTCAGTGAGTCCTTTTAATAGGTAAAGGGAAGTCTGAATTTGAGCTTTTATAGGTAAGAAAGGAGAGAGACTCTCTACAAACATAAGGTTGATCATTAGTCTGTCCTAGTAAAAACATAAGGTCTCCTTTTCAGAAAACTGTATGTTCCCTGTAATTTATGCTTTTAAAATATGAAATGTTTAGAAATACCTGTGGGAAGCCAGTGAGCATATCCCTATTACCCACACTGTTTCTCTAGCCAACAACTTCTATAGATAATTGAATTACACATGTAACTGTCTTACACTTTATAGGCAGTAAACAAAATCTGTTTTCTAGAATGTATTAAGAACTCAAAATGTGAAAAGGCACACCTTTAATTCTATCAGTGTAAGGCCATTTGGATCTACATAGTAAGTCTTGTAGCAACCAAAGCTACATACTGAGACCCTATCTCAAAACAACAAACAAGAACTCAAAATGCTTTTGGAAAAAAAAAAAGACTGCCTCAAGTAAAAAGTTCTTGGATGTGTTTTGCCTTTGAACTAAGGAAAAACAAATGTTCCTGCAGGCTTTCAGACTCCTTTCTTTGAGTTTTTTTTTTTTTTTTTTTTTTTTGGTATTTTCTCTGCATCCTGTTACTTGAATATTTCCTCATTTTAGTTTTCTTCTTATTGATAAGATTATAGATGACCATGTTCCTCATACCACCAGAGTTTGTCTTTTTAAAATCATATTGTCCCAGATGTTTTAGGGACATGTTGCCTAAGTGATATTTTTTATTTTAGTATTCTAATGATTACTTTCCAATTTTCTTTGTTTTTTTGTCCTTTTGTTTCTTTTAGTATTAGAGGTGAAATATTTAGTGTTGATATGAATTCCTAAGTTCCTTTAGTAAAGATAGCATTGTTTTACTTTCCATTAACCTAATGAAAGCTCTGGTTTGGTTTTCTCCTACTCTTGTCAAACTTGTAGGCTATTCTTAGTGCCATGAGGGATGTGGTGAAGCACAGAACTTCGATTTTCATTGCACACAGATTGTCAACAGTGGTTGATGCAGATGAAATCATTGTCCTGAGCCAGGTAAGAAATGAACTTTAAAAGACAGTATTCATTAGAGAATTCATTATCAGCCTTAATTAGAGAAGTTTTTCTCTGCAATGATAGGCAGTGAATGAAAGGACTTATGGCTGCTGAAGATGCAGAAAATAACTGACAGTTGAGTGTTCAGCCCTAAACAGCACATTTATGCCACTACCTCTAATGCTTAGGGAACATGGAGGAATGGGTCAGGGGTGTTGGATTGGGGGATAAAGAACCAGAAGAAAAGGAGAAAGACTGTGAGGCGCTATTTTCTGGCCGTGACACAGCAATTGTAATCATCATCTTTCAGCAACTGCAGCTTCCTGCACCGGGTGTGCACAAGATTGAGCCAGTCAGCAGTCAAGTCATGAATACAGGAGGGTGTCACAGGGCATATCCTTCCCCAAGAAACTATTAACTGCTTATGGATTCTAGGGGAGGGTTGTGATTGTCTTCACTTGTGTACCCAAGGTGAAGCCACCAGACTCTAGTGGATACTTCTAAGCCAATGGTCATATAGGTTGTCCTGGTAAAAATCAGTGGATTACAAAACAAAAAGACATGAATGTAGGAAACACATTTATAGGGAAGAGGAGATTTAACAGGGGTAAAATGAAGACAAGAAAGGGCAGTGGTGAAAGTAATCAGTAAATTTTATATATCTATATGAACTTATCAAAGAATAAATTTAATAGAAACTATAAAAGGAAAAATGGTAGTATTTGAAGAATCTTAGAAATAGTTATAGGTACCCAAAGTTTAATTACTGTATCCAATGAAATATTGCAGAATTTGTGTTCTTTTGATGAAATTAAATCCTAATAGTATTCTGGTTTTTGTCACTTTTGTAGGAAATAATGCATTAAATTTCCAAGAAGGATAAACTATATTAACTCACTCTTTATTAAAGTACTAAAAGCAAATGTTTGATCAGGAAAGTATTAAATCTTCAAGATAGAAGCATATTTTCAATGATTGTCTATATAAAATAATTTTGCTTCGTTCAGTTTTGCCCTGAATAGATCTTTGCACAGTGTCTTTGTATTTTCATTATATATATATATATATATATATATATATATATGTATATCATTAATATCTTAAAATTTACAGTAAAATAAAAATGATCATTTTTTAAAGTGACTATTTAGTTTTGTTTTCATTGTAGGTAAAGTAAAAATATACTATTTTATCACTTTTGAGGGAATTACTATACAAGCTTACTATCTAAATGTTCTTAGCAATCGTTGTGATTGGCAGATCTGAACATTTTTAATAATTGTCCTTTACTCCTGTCTTTAAGGATCTTTTTCCCTCACCTCTTAGCATTTGATTATTTCTAACACTGTTCAGTTTTTCATATCACATACAGAGCTTTTGCTGTCATTATCGTTCTTTTCTAATCAATACTTCTATTTTTTATTGTTTTGGAAGCCAGTGTACTGAGAGTTAAGAGATGGGAAGCAGTTGTGTGCTTTCTAAAGTTTGAGTTATCAAGAGGGACTTTTTTGTGATACTACAGATTGAACTCAGAGCCTTATACATGCTATCAAGTGTTCTACTGTTGAACTGTATTCCCAGCCCACAAAGGTTTTTTTTTTTCATTCCACTAACATTTAGACAGTATTCATTATTGTGGTATTTATACCCTTTATTCTATAAGGGATTTATATGTTTGTGACTTTAAATGTGTTAGTTTGTTCCTAAATGTTGACATTCTTTAGAAAATAAGTTGTTTTTCCCAATATGGTTAAACCAAAATATCTTAAATGGTAACTTAAACCTTACTATATCTTTGATATTTAAGAATCTAAAATAAAATCTGAAATTTTGTACCTTTTAAACTAAGCTTAACAAATTATATGCAGTCATGCTCTCAGAGCTTTTATTCAATAATAGAAAATATTGAGATTTCTTAGTAAATAATGTATTTACATATGTCTGTGCAGAAATGTCACAACATTGCCCCATGGGTTTTGAATTACAATTAACGTATTAATGGCCATAGCATATGTAGCTACATAAACTTTCTTGGTATTTTTGTTAGCCCTCTAATTGGTTAATTTTATGACCTCATTTTCAACTGGGGGTTTGTCTGCCACCTCAGTCAGGCATTGTCAAAATTTGTTTATATTTCTGTTAAGATGTCATGCCTATGAGACATCTGATTGATCATGGAAGATTAGACACAGCAATTGATGTTTGAGGCTGCAATAAGATGGCCAGGTATCCAAATGTTCATCCTATCACAAAGTGTGCCAATTGAGAAGGCCATTCCCATGCACACAGCCTCCAGTTAGCTTTTTAATGTTCTATTCTTTGGTGTTAGGAGAGAATAAAGTGTTAGAAGAGAATAAATGAAGATATCTAAAGCAAACAGAATGAAAAAGGGTTCAATAAAATACAGAGACAATACAAAGAACTGTAATAAATATTTTAAAATTTAATATTCCTAGAAGTCATGATAAATTAAACATTTCTAAAATAATGATAGGTACTATTCAGAAAAGGAAAGGAAGCATATGGCATGGTTTCTGGGATATATGATTGAATGAAAAAAAGTGGCGTACAAACAACATGTATGCCGTCTTTTGCAAGAAGGATGGGGGTGGAGAATATATGTATATGTGCTTAAATTCTGAAGAGAAATTCAAGAAGGATAAAATAGAAACTAAAACAGTTGGCTATCTGCAGAATGGAGATGAAAATGGTTTGCAAGACATGAGCAAATAAGATCTTCCTGAATATGTATGTTTATATTAATTTTGCTTTTGATCTATTTTATGTGTTGAAAAAAGTTTATACATGCATATACATATAAATATATATGTATATGTGTGTATGTTTGTTTGTATGTATGTATGTATGCACAGTCCCAAACGTATTGACATGTTATGAAAGCAGAAGGAACATTACTATTTTTTTTAACATTACTATTTTTAATGGGCTGAAAAGGACTAGTTGGAGGGAAAAGTGTGGAAGAGATTAATATATATGTATTAACACTTCACAGTGAAGCACTTTATCTTGTATACTAACTAAAACAAAAATTAATCAAGGATACAAAAACAAAAATTGAATACTAACAGGAAGCAAAACTGTCATTGACAACCACACAAAAAAGAATAGAATCTATCCATGTAATTTTTAATGTAATATTCTAATTATATACGCTTATTAAATGTCCTAATTTTCTTCTCTGTTGCTGTGATAAAAACACTGACCAAAACCAACTTGGGGGAAGGACGAATCTACTTGGCTTACAAGTTACAGTCTTTCTTTGAGGAAAGCCAAGACAGGAGCTGATGCAGAGGCCATGAGGGATGCTGCTTGCTGGCTTGTTCCCCTTCCCTTGCTCAGCCTGCTTTCTTACACACCCGAAGATTACCTGCTCAGCGATGGCATCACCCACAGTACTGGGACTTTCCACATTAATCAATCAAGTACATACCCTCCAGACTTGCCTACAAGCCAATCTTATGGAAGCACTCTCTCAATTGAGGTTCCTTCTTCCCAGATGTGCCAAGTTTGTATCAAGTTGACAAAAAAAACTAATTAGGATATTAAATATAAATGTATAATTATATTTATTACATCATATCACCAAGTTATAGTTCTTTTAATCTACCTACTTAACAACTTCCCCATGTATTATATAATACACAAGTGTATTATAAGGATAAATAGTCCAAAGGGAAGAGTTGGTAATTCTATGGAAGTACCCATTTTGAAATTATTCTGTATGTAAGTAAGACTGAGAAGCATATACTGAGTAAATACACTGCTCTTAGAACAGAGATGTTACTTGGGAGAAGAAAGTTGCAAGTAAAAAAATCATCAGAGGATAGGAAGACTCTCACAAGGTTTATGTTTTAACAGAATTACCCATATAAATTCCTTATGCAGAAAGTATTCTAATTCTGTCTACTGCAAAAGCCTGGGAGCAATGAAATTCTGAAAGTAATGAGCATTCCCAGCACACAGATTTTGGACACTAAATTACTATTTCTCACTAAAAGGACCCAAACCTTCTTCGATAAAAGCTGATCTGGGGTAGGGGAACTAATGAACACATGTCACAAGGACACAGGAACCACTTTGACCTCCCACTGGCCAAATGTGGGATAATTAGAGCAGTCAAATGAATAATGGTGCTAATGAGTTGTAACATCCTGAATAAAAAACTAATTTTTGCATCCATGATAATACTTTTAAAACAAGAAGTGCCAAGAGGAAAAGAAAAGCCCTTCTTTAAGAATACCACCAGCCAGCCTATAGAAGGAATGATAAATTTAGAAAATCAGATTTTGCCACCACCATTGTAATAATTGTGTTTAGAAAACAATCACCGCTGGCTGATAAGACTATTGAGGAACAGATTTTTCAATCGGTTTGAAAGTAAAACCCATAGGTTACTTATTATGAGCATAAAACTTGATGGTTAAATACAGAAATTTTCTAGATACCTTTAACACAAGATCAAATTTCATATCAGTAATGGAGCAAACCAACCTCCTTACCTTCTGATATGATGCTGCATTGAAGACATATTACTCTTTTTAATATTTTATTTTTATTTTTAATTATGTGTATATGTGTAGGTCTGTGGGATAGAGAGGTTGTGCTCATGAGTTTAGTGCCAGGAGAGTCCATTAGAAGGTCTTGAATCCCCTGAAGCAGCAGTTACAGGCCATTATGAGCTGGGTACTGGAAACCCAGCTCAAGTTCTCTCAGAGATGAAGAAGGACTCCTAATAGCTGAGCCATCTCTGACCCCACATGACTTAATAATCAGGAAAAACTAGATTAATCCAAACTGAAGGGCAGTCTTTATATTAAAAAAAACTCTAAGCAAGTTAGACTTGGACATTTAAAAAATGTCAGTGTCATAAAGAGAGAGTAGGACACTGCTAGAAATGCAGTGTGTAGATGCAGGCAGTATTCTCGTTACTGCTCAGACCGCAGCTCCTTTGCATTGTACTCAATAAACTATTCTTGAAAAGGGAAAACTATTTAAAATCAGTATTTTGCTTTTCTTCAGCTCCTAGGTGGAAAAAAAAAGGTATTGTTGTAATATTTACTAAAGGTTGAAAATGAAGCATATGTTAAGATAAGAGTATCATGGCGTTGCTAAATTTCTTGGGTGTGATATAATTATGTCAGGCATGTAAAATTGTCTCTTACTTTTAAAGATATGTACTAGTGAGATATTTAGAAGTATAATATCAGTATGTACAGCTCATTCTCAGATTGTTTGACAAGATAGAATATGATTTTATGTACAGGTAAAGATATGTCCTTATTGCATATAGTATATGAGAGAGAATACGTAGAAAGTGAGACAAAGCAAGTATGGGATGAAACTAAGCAAATGAGGCAGTTACTAAGTCTAGGAAGAAAAAACTGTAAGAAAAATATGTATATAATCCCAGTGTCTACATGATTCATCATGAAACATGTAATCATAAAGTAAACAACATAAAATACGTGCATAGACATAACAAAATAAACAGAGCAAGAATTTGTGATACAGGAGGTGTTATTAGAAGAGTGAAAAATTCAGCAGAGGAATTATGGGATGATTGGAGTATTGACTCTTCAACTTCCTTAATAAGTTCATAAATAATGCCATAAATCAAGAAGCAATATAGCCATAGATGTGTACAAATCCAGTACTTGAGCGTTGGCACAGACTGACTTCACTAATATTACAGAAAGTGTCTATTTGGAACAATTCTGTCTATAAGAATGCCCATGAAAGTGACAAATTCTTTTTGTCTCTCATCATGTTTAACAGTAGCCATCAGATAGGAAATAATTCTGGATCAGAGCCTGGAGTCCATGCCAAATCAATGAATGTTGTTTTAATAGGCACTGTTAACAAAAAGAGCTACTGGAAGAAGTAAACTTAATTTTCATGAAATCTTCTTTATTTCATGAAATTTTATTTCAGAATTCACATGGATTTAACAATATTGTTTTTAAATCCTTTAAATCCCTGTATAAATAACAGAGCTTTTGATTTGAACATTTGCTGATTACAGAAAAATCACCTTTTTAGAATTTTAATCTTCTCTTTATGCCTTTCAGAATGAAAAATAAAACAGTAAATCTTTATTTCTTTATGTACTATGATGTCTGTAGGATTGGGAATCTCATAGTTTTTGTTAACTGAGTCTGGGTAGTACAGCAGTGGAGAAGCATTCCCACCTCAGTTCTTTCCAGTGGAGCTATGAATGAGGAATTAGAAGAGGTGTTTTAATGAATACAGGTCCTTCAAATATCTTTCATTATAAGTTACTATATAGTTTTAGGTATTATGCTGGTTAACTGACATGTACCTTGTGTTTATTTTTTAGGGGAAGGTAGCTGAACGTGGTACCCACTATGGTCTGCTTGCTAACTCTAGCAGTATCTACTCAGAGATGTGGCATACACAGAGCAGTCGTGTACAGAATAATGATAACCTCGGATGGGGAGCAAAGAAAGAAAGGCTCTCCAAAGAAGAGGAAAGGAAGAAGCTCCAAGAAGAAATTGTTAACAGTGTGAAAGGCTGTGGCAATTGTTCCTGCTAAGGAACACAAGACTATTTTTGTCTTTCTTTTTGTTGTCTTGTTTGGTTTTAGAGTACACATTTGCACTGAAGCAAAACTTGTTCATAAATTTTCAAATTTTACATTCTCATTCCTTTAATCTTATTAAATAACATATATTTGAAGGAGGGTTTGATTTTTATGTCTTTCACCATCTTTTGAATGTGACATCTATAATTATCCCCCCAGTTATTTTTCTTGTTCCTGCCCCAGTTGTGTTCAGTGCATAATTCTTGTTACCATTTGATTTGACCCTATAGTCATTTTTGAAGTCTGATATTCATTTGCTATTGATAAACAGATGAAGTAGAGTGATTTCCAAATTTATGCAGTATTTAAACCTCCTTTGTGCTGACAAGTTTTAGAGACAGTGGCTTTTTTCTCTTAAAATTAAACAGGAATAAAAAAGAGAAGAGTGTAGGTTTTCTCTTCCTTCCTCCCTCCAATTATAGTTCTTTGTCAGTCTGAAAATTAGTTTGCAAATACACTTAATGTTGGAACTTACCAAAATGAACTGTACTTATACTTTGGGCATTTTCCTTTTTGACACCTATAGTAAGAGTTATTATTATGTCCTTTTTTGAAGAAAAACTCACATTGGTATAGAATATTATCTTTAATCGCCACTGTAACTCTTCTCTAGTGATTGGAATTTTATTTTGACCCCCCCACCCAAGTTTTTGTTTTGGACCAAAATTTATTAATTTTTATTTCAAGTCTCAGAAACCTTGATGTCATTTGAAAGTTATTATACTGGCAATGATCCCCAAAGTTTAAGGAGTTAATGGTCTTTCCTATTTCTATCTTAAATGCACTGCTTTTGCTATCTGAAGTTATACAGTGAAATAAGTAAATAGGATGTTGTACATCCACACATGTGAATGTCTGTGTACATGCTAATATATGTATATAAGTCAGTGTCCCCTTAAAATTATTAAAAAACATTTGATAAATAGGAAAGAATTCCATCTATAGGTATATTCTTTAGGTGACCAGATCTCTTAATCTGTATTGACACTTCACAATTGCAGTTTATTGTAACATTTTTTCTTACTTATTCATAATTTAATGAATTTTTGTTAAGTCTAATGTAAAAGAGAGACTAAGTGATATAGAAAAACATTTTACCTGTTGGAAATAATTATTAAAATGATATCACTTAAAAAGATGTTCTTTTAATTCAGACATAGTAAAGTACACCTGGAGTCTCAGCATCAGGAGGTTGAGTCCAGGAATTTGAGGCTAACCTGGGCAATATAGTGAGACCCTTTCTCTTAAAACTGAAAAAGGAAACAAAAAGTTCTTCTCTTGTTTCAGTATGAATTTAATTTGTTTGATAATACCCATTCATTTTGAAACATGTGTATCTCATGAATGGCCACATAATCATTTATAATGTGGCTTTATTTCTCAGGAAAGGTCCTAAACTGCTTGTTACATTATGGTTTTAATGTGTTTTAAATGATAATTTAGTGTGGGAGAGATTAATATTTTTTGATTTGTGTTATTGTAATTGGTGAATAAATACCTTCTGTTATATAATACTTTGCTGATCTGAAGCCATTATTTCAGTTAATCTTTGATGCCAAAGTAATTTTTGCAGGATCTTGCTTTTAAAATTGAAAATAACACTGCTATGTTTTGTGGTTTGTTTTGTTGATATTTCTTGCTCTCAAGATGTAGTTATCAGTGCTATTCTCGAGGGGGGAAGAGTACATCCTTTGAATAAATCAGTTACATTACTGCAGATGTGATTAAATTTAGATAAAAATTTTGCATCACTATTAATTCCTTCATTTGCAGCAATGCTGATGGAGATGATGGAACTCACAGAGACAAGCAGAGTGTAATAATCATTAGTAAGAATTCTTCTTGAAGTGTACATAGCAGTGTTCAAAGAAAGTTATTTTGTGATATAGGGAACATTTACTCCAAGAAAGTAGGAATATTTTCAGGGTAGGGATAATATTCCCACTAAGATTTTGAAACTATTTTCTTTTCATATGTTTGCAGGTGGTTCTTAGGCATTTGTAGTCATTAACCTATCTTTCGGCTAACAAAGCTAAAATTATCTAAAAAAGACAGAGTAGAGACAATAACTAAGTCTTAAAGACATCTTTTTAAAAATTACGTCATCCTCAGGTGGTTCTATAGAGGGAAATAATAGACAGATGAAGATGAAAGACAAGCTTCCTGGGATGATTCAGTCATGGGAAATGCCAAGAAAAGGGCAGTTAATTATAATGCACTAATTTTTACATCACAATATTACATAATTACGCAAAAAGGATAATGTGTATAAATTAAAAATGAAAGCAGCATTGCAGCATTGTTTTTTTAATATATTGGGAAGAGTAAGTTATACTTTTAAAATTTGAGCTTTGAAAACAGAGCAAGATAATGGGGGTTCATTTCTTAACATCTCTTTTTTTTAAGGATTAAAAAAATTATTCTCTTCTTAAAGAAATCCCACTTTACAAAAATTAGCTTGAAGCCAAGGTAATTTAGGATCATAAAACTGGGCCAGATGCTTTACTGATCGTCCTTAACATAGAACTGTCTTGTTGTGCAGATGGGCTCATTTGGAAATTTTTAACAGCTCAAGCCAGGGTCACTTCTGAGAATCAGGAAGACCTTCACATCTGAACATGAACAGTCTCAAGATATGCATACCTCTGCAGGGATTTGCACCTCTTATATACCTTACAATGAATATTCTGACTTTCTCTTCCATGTTGACAGATCTCAGTTTTTGAAGATGGCTATTTTTTTAAAACTTGTTTTACTCTGAAGGCCAGGTATTTAAAAGCTGTATAATTCCTTGTTTCTAGATCGCTTTTCCATACTGCCATCTTGTTCCTATCCTTCCTACTTGCTGAATATATCACCAAGTCGCTGCCTTTTCTGTATATATTTCTAATTCCCTCATCTTGTAACTTGATTACAAGATATTCTGTTTTGAATTAGCAGTTAAAAGTGTTTAAATATGTTTGTAATTACAGTTTGTTTTTAATTATAGAAAAATTCCTTCTTTTCCCTTCTAAGTGTATTGATCTGGGATGTAAACTGTATGCTAAATTACACCATTGAGTGAGACATTCTGGATAAAGCTGATTGAGACAAAACATCTCAGCCAAGGATTTATCTTACCACAATTCTCTTGTTTGTAGCAACCTGTGCAGATAATCATCACTGAATAAATATGCTATCTTTGTGCCTAGAAATGAGTGTCTGATGGAAATAAGTTTTCTGCAGTGCTCAGGGAAACTGACATTTTGTTCCTTACACACTTGGAATAAATACAGGTAATTACTAAGCACTTTGGGAATATGGCCTTGCAGCTTTAGACAGCAGGTAAAAACTTGGCTTTTTTTTTCAGTAAGAAAGTAAATGTTTGCAGAGTTATGATATAGGTAAAATGGTAGCAAATTATGGTGGTTTTATTTAGCATTAAGCTGTCATATTTTTGATAGCCAACCAGTGAAAAGGCCCTAGTTTCTTACTTATCCCCAGTTTCTCAATTGTATGATTAGGAGGGAAACCTTGGGGTTGGGAAATGTCTTGCCTGCATTTTTTATTAGCTAGGTAAAATTGGAAATGAAGTATGTGTTCTAATTAAAAACAGATTGGAAGTTTTTAAAAAATATATACAGATTGTTTCCATATTTCATGTTCTCATATAGATACAGTAAAATGTTCACTGGTGTCTTTCTCTTCCTTTTTCATAAAACCATGGGGTTTTAAAGTTGGAAGGGGTTTAAAGGTCATTTAGTATATTTTTTCTTATTCTATAACTGAGAAAGCTGAACTTCAAGAGAAAGCACTCCAGTAGAGGCTATGCAGGAGTGAAAACCCCAGTTCTTGTGTTGTACCATATTTCCACACATTTGGAAATAAATTTAAGGCTCATGGTTGAGAATGGAGAATTAATGACTTCCACAGGCCTCCCCAACAAAGCAACAATTTAACTGCTTTTTGGAAAGTTGTTATAAGGACTGGAGAGATTGCTCAGTGGTTAAGAAACCTGCTCATGCAGAGAATCCAAGTTCAGTTCCCAGCACCTACATCAGGCAGTTAACTCCAGTTCTAGAAATTCAACACCCTCTTCTGGCCTCTGAAGGCATTTATACTCATGTGCACATACCCACCAGACACACATGCATGCACATATTTTAAAAATATAAATAAATCTTTTTGAAAGTTAATTGAAAGAAAAAATAGTCTGTTGAATGCTCCTAAAAATGTCCTATGGGCTTATAGGAAATGGAGAAACATTTAAGACAGTCTAATCTTAAGAACAGCAAGAGACTGTGGCCTTTAAGAAATGCTATGTTCCATATGCTCTGTGCTGGAAGCTCTACCCTGGGCATTCTGCTCTGAGCAGGTGTGGTAAAGACATGTAGTGGGGATACATGGGACTTCCTCATCCCCAGTTCCCAACTTGAGGCTGCAGTTTTATTCTGTCATCAAGAGCTGCCTGCAGTTTTTTTTTTATCTACATCCTGTTTTTCTCCTTTATGTGTGCCATAGCCCATTTTCTGCTGCTATAGCAAAATTTAAGCAGGTAAGCTATAAAGATTGGAATTTTATTAGCCTATGGCACTAATCATGCGGTGCCAACATCTGATTGGCATTTGGTGAGTGCCCTTTTGCTGTGTCGTCGCATGGTAGAAGGTACTATAAGGAGAAACAGGAAGCGTACTAGCTAATGTCTCTTACAAAGTCAGTCAGTGGTGCCATCATGCACACCCCACCATCATCATCTCATTTTACCTCCCAAAGATCCCGCCACCAATATCATTAACATGAACTTTTTTCAGCACATGAAAATTTGGGTGTACATTTAAACCATGGTTGTGTGGAAACTCCATTCCACTTGTGAGAACAATGACATGCTAAATTTTTCTTCTCCACCTTATTCATAGGGTGGAAATTTCACTCAGCATTGACCTTGCTCCAGTGCAATTCAGTACGGTGGAATTTCTGGTCAAGGGGAAATCACACGTGATTAGGGCAAAGAACTCCATAGCTCCACCTGTGGGAACTGACTTCATTTGAAAGATGGCGAACTCCTTTAGTAAAGACATTATCAAAAGCAGTGTGGAGATCTTTGAGAAGTTCAATTAGGACAGGACCTTCCTAATGCTGCAACCCTTTAATACAGTTTCTCAGGTGACCCCCCCCAACATAAAATTATTTTCATTGTTACTTCATGACTGTAATTTTGCTATTGTTAGGAATTGTAGTGTAAATATCTGATATGTGGGATATCTGATGTGCAACCCCTGAGAAAGGGTCATTTGACCCCCAAAGGAGTTGTGAACTACAAGTTAATACTACTGAATTAAGAGGAACTTGCAGAAGCAAAACAGAATAGCCAGAAAGTCAAACAGAAATGAAAGAGGAAAAAAGATCTCCTGGGAGCAGTCAGTTTAGGGGTTGGAAATGTTGGACACAAGCATTGGGGAAACTACAGACCCTCCAGAAGAAAATTAGTTTCTATAATTGCTGTAAATGTAGGTCTAAAATGCCCAATTTACAAGAAGAATGTTGTAAAATACAAAAGCAAACAAGAGAATGTGACCCGAACATGGAGGCTATAATAGTAATTGCTGCCGTAGTAGGAGGGTGAGAGAACAGTAGTCATCACATACAAAGAAATCCCAGATTTATAACAAGTAAAATTTGGCCAGGCATGTGAACTCCAGAAGACAGAGTATTGACATTCAAATTGCTGAAAAAAGTCTCAACCAAGAATATTGTAGCCAGATGTGTCCCCTGTACAGTAAAGACATGACTTCTATGGAACTAAGAAACTACCTTCTAATTAGACTTAAGACCTACTCCACAAGAAGAAATTCATGCCAGATATTGTAAACTTGTATAAAAACCCAGGGCTAGTTGAGATCATAGGCCCTAGGGGAACTTATTGCTTTGCTAAGTGGACAGTCTGTCAAACTGCCTTCTTAGATATTTGTGTTGTTTTCAGCCTTAGTTAGAGAAGCTTCTTTTTACAATGGTCAGTGATTGAAAAGAAAACTGGTAACTCGTCAAAATACTAAGTGAGTGCTCATCTTTAATGGGACGTCTTAAAAAATACCCATCAAACCCTACTACACAAGCATACATGCATGCAAGGCTCAGAGAACATTGTGAAAAGGGGCTTCTAATGTATCTCAGGGAATAGAACAGAGATATAGCTGTGGGAACCAAGGTTGTTGACTACATGACTAAATTTCCCACTGGAGGTCCCACACACACAGTGGAAGTGGAGGTCCTACAGAGTGGGAGGAGGGGTGACCCAATATCACAGTACATGGTGGGGATAATGTGCCCCATAATCCATATTCTGCCAAATACTAAGGAAGAGTGCTTATGGCTTCACAAGAGATCTACTGTAAGAATCAACCAATATACAAAAGGTGATAGGCCCAGCGCCTTGTTAACTGGGTTTATCTCCATCAGAATGCATTCATTCTGGTGGGTCAGCCTTCTGCTCTCTCAGCTGAAATCTCACTGCATTATTTTTAGGGATCACAGTAGC